TAGTAATGAAATCCTAGCTAAGGCAGTTGCCATAGCCATGGTGATTTATCACAGAAGCAGAACAGTGACTAAAACAAGTTTCTCCTCCCAAAATACAGACAGAAAACAAAATGAACACATGTGGAAAAGACTTGAGCTCAACCACAAATCTAGAATCCAACAAAGCCCATTTTGGCCCAGTCAAATTGAGATCTGGTAACCTACTTCTAACCTGTAACTCCTTAGTGAAAAAAGTGTTTGTGTTTTAAGTCATTCAGATATTGGGGTTGTTTGTAATGGATTATTGTTGTTACATAGCTAATTGATACCTGTCCCATCACTGGTCCCTAAGCGTCTGTCTTCCTATGTGCTCACTGAGTGCTTTTTAACTGGTTATTCAGACAGATAGAATCAGTTGAGTGAGTCAAAGACCAAATGAGACATTTTTCAGGGTAAAAAATAGATTACATGTCTCCAATATCCACATTCCAGTCACCTTTTAAGAATAATTTCTTTCTAGGAATATACATATACATATATATGTATATATGTATATACATATATACATATATATATGGTTTTAATGAAAGCTTAGAAATTCAGTGTCTTAAATAAGTTATGCATTTATCTCTCTAATAAAAGTTGGTGGGTGCAGTCAATGTTGTGTAGATAGTTTTCCATACAGCAATCCAGAGACCCAGCAGCTTTGCCTGGTTGCTCTGCCAGGCTGTGCATCTTGGGAGCTAGGTCACTCTGTCTGTAATTCTGTACAGTGTACAGCAGGAATAGAGAGAGAAAAACACTGTAGGGTGAGTATTTATTTATTTATTTTTGGTAAAGCAAGTAATATAGAAAATGCACACATTGCTTCCTCTAGCATTCTATGGATGAAAACAGAGTCACATGGCCACACCCAGACACAACGGGGAATAGGAAATGGAGCCTCCAGATGGATGGCTGTGTTCCCAGATGAAACTCAATTCCAATGGAAGAAGAGAAAAATAGATTTGGAAGGGGAGGAGCCAGAAGTCTATCACACATAGGTATGCAGACACTACATACAAATCCATTTTTGGTTTCAGATTTTTATTTTCACTTTTTTTGTAGGCATTCTAAAAAATAATGTCAATTTTGTTTTCCCTGACTAGAATGAGAGTTAAGCTGTCTCTGGAGCCAGCCCTGTGTCCTGGAGCTGTTGTGTGAAAATGGGACAAAGAACAAAATGAGGGTGTGTTTCATTTCAGGTCCTCAGAGAAACAAGAGAACAAAAATGGGACTGAATGCACCAAGTTTTATTGTGAAAATAGCAATAAATGATAAAACCTTAGAAAAGAGAAAGCCACAAACCTCCCACTTCTCAGAGGACAATGCTGTCCCATACATACAGGATGTATATTTATTAGCATGTTAGCCTGGCTTGAATGAATGATGTTGAGTGCTCATAAAGGCTTAGCAGTCAGAGCCAAGGGTGGTCCCTGCAGCTTCCACAGTTCCTAAACACGATTTGCAATTCTTTGTGTTTCACGCTTCTTCACCCACGATGAAGAGTTCATATAGATACTGCTCCTGACAGGGCTGAGATGTTGGCTGAAAATGCAACTCTCCCACCTTAAGCACTTGAATTTTATTACCAATAGCATAACTCTAAGTGAATTTTATACCACGTTTCTATTTTATAGAATTATTATTCATCAATTTAGTTTGTTTTTTTTTAAGGTTACCTTTTTTTCCCCTTAAAGCACGTAAGACTGAGCCCTGCAGGGCTATTCTCTGCCTTGCTGTGGTAGACTGGGCTCTTACAGACAATTTCTGAGGGAATAAAGAACAAGCCAGTGAGAAGCTGGCTCCTTAGTTTCTATTGTGCTCTAAAGGATAATGGAGCTGCATGTTGTGAGGTCAAGTGGGCCTGCCAGTCTCAGAAGGAGCAGGACAGGTCCCGGGGGATGGCCGGGCTGTTTCTCATATCTTGTTTTCTTGTGTCAGATGTTAGTAGGTAAGCTGGTTGCCTGTTGCCAGTGTTAGAGAAAAAACTTCCACATCAAGGCAATGTGCTCTCCGGCCTGGAGATCTAATATTCCAGCTTGCCTGGGCCCTTCTCGTGGGTAGGGGCTACCCTTAAAAGCTGGAGTCACCGTGAGTTAGAGAGATAGGTGGGTAACTAGTTCTTCACTGAGATCCGTTCGCGTCTTAGAATCTCAGTTTCCTGTGCAGGGCTGCAGCTGTGTAGCTAGTAAGTCAGCCTGCTCTTCAGAAAAATGCTATTTTTCCTGTTCTTCTTTCCTCACCCCCCCGCCCCAGCATGCTTTCCTTATCACCCTGCGCTTCTGCACAGCATATTGTGCTTGCTCCCTCCTTACTATGCAGCTGCTTGTTGGTCGTGTATCTGCCCTCTGTGCCAGCTTCAGTGGTGCCTTAGTTAGCATTTGGTCGCTGTCAGGAGACACCATGACCAGAGCAACTCGCTTCCAGTGTCAGTTTAGTCCATTGTCATTGTGGCAAGAAGCATGGATGGGGGAGGAGAGAGAGAGAGAGAGAGAGAGAAAGAGAGAGAGAGACTCAACCCTGACTAACACATTCTCTTCAACAAGGCCACATCTTCTAATTCTTTTAATCCTATCCGTTCTCCTCCGTGATGACTGAACATTCAAATCTATGAATCTATGGGAGCCATTCTTATTCAGACCTCCACAGATTGCCCACTTTTTCACTAGGTTCTCACCTCCCGACAAGCAGCTGAGCTTTACAGTGTGTCTCCTCATCCCCTCCCGACAAGCAGCTGAGCTTTACAGTGTGTCTCCTCATCCCCTCCCGACAAGCAGCTGAGCTTTACAGTGTGTCTCCTCATCCCCTCCCGAGAAGCAGCATGGCTTTGCAGAGTATCGTCTTTGGGGTTTTTCTTTTAAACTCCAAAAGCATTGCCCTTGAGTTTGCAGTCTTTTCTTATTTTATGAATGAGACTAAGACCCTCAAGAGGGGCTGGCTACAGATGTCTCCCGTGTGATCTGGTGACCCCTAAAATTCCAGTAACATCAGCAGAGTGGAAGAACTGCAGGACGTCAGGGAGGCGATGAGGTTCTGGACGAGGTGTGCGGGGCTGGAGAAGAGTCCATTATACATGCAGAATTCCATTACATTGCTGACTACCAGCTTTCCTTGTTTCTTCGTAGGATGCATCCTCACATCCTCAGGACATAGGATTGGATGGCTAGTCCTGTTTCTCTGCCCTCTCAGAAATCATCAGTCTAATGGAATGTGAGTTTAGCCAAAACTTTCAGTGAGGCTATTTTTTTTTTTACATTTTATTTATCAGCAGTGATTACATCTAGCCAGATGTACTAACTTACCCCATTCAACCTGCTCAGTTTCTGCTACCGCAAGGGCATTAGAAAAAAAAGTGTTTCCCTGTGTGAAGTGTGGTATGGTATTCCTTCCTTGGAAGCTTGCTAACTTCTGATCTTTCTGTGCCTCGGTTTCCTTACTCTGAACATGACAACCAATTTCCCTTTGAAATTTTTTTTGTAAAGATAGACTAATAAAAGAGATACGTTTAAAAAATAAAACTACATTTGCATGCAAAATTTGAGAAGTCATTGTTTTTTACCGCAGCATAGTACTCTAATGTGTAGATATTCCACACTTTCTTCATCCATTCTTCCATTGAAGGGTATCTAGGTTGTTTCCAGGCTCTAGCTATTACAAATAATACTGCTATGAACATAGTTGAACAAATGCTCTTGTCATATGATAGGGCATCTCTTGGGTATATTCCCAGGAGTGGTATTGCTGGGTCCAGGGGTAAGTTGATCCCGAATTTCCTGAGAAACCGAAACACCGATTTCCAAAGTGGTTGCACAAGATTGCATTCCCACCAGCAATGGATGCTATTGGGAGCTCACCAAGGCCAGCTGAACTGTGACTGAAAAAGCATGGGATAAAACTGGACTCTCTGAGCATGGCGAACAATGAGGGCTGATGAGAACCCAAGGACAATGGCACGGGGTTTTGAACCTATGTAATGTGCTGGCTTTGTGGGAGCCTAGCCACTTTGGATGTTCACCTTCCTAGAAATGGACGGAGGGGGGAGGACCTAGGACTTACCACAGGGCAGGGAAATCTGACTGCTCTTTGGGCTGGAGAGGGAGGGGGAGAGGAATGGGGGGAGGGGGAGAAGGGTGGGAGGAGGGGGAGAAGGGTGGGAGGAGGGGGAGGGAAATGGGAGGCTGGGAGGAGGAGGAAATTTGTTTTTTTTTCTTTTCTCAATAAAAAAAAAATAAAACTACATGAGGTATTTGCCACTTTAATTACCATTATCACTCAGATGCTTTCCTACGGAAGAAGCAAACACAAGCATCCCAGCGCTGGAGGTTAAAGGGAACCCTATGTCAGGATTAAGCAGGGCAGAGAGTGATAAGCTAGGGTGTTGTGTTCTGCCAAAACTGTCAGTCATTAGATTGTTAGGGAGACTAGATTTAGGGTATGAAAAGATAAAGCCTACGTGGTTTTACCGGCGTGGGCTTGCTAGAAAAATAACATCTCTGGGTTCGCACAAAGGTCTTCACCAAGTGCGAATGAGTCTCTCCCAACAGATTTGGGTGGCAGGAGCAGTCAGCATGTCTACGGCTGGAGACCAATGATGAAGGGAAGGCCATTGACAGGTGACAAGGAAATGTGAGTTCCTAGGCAGGAGCGCTAGCTTCCCAGGACGCTCCCAGGGCTGACTTCCCTCCTCGCCAGTCCCTCTCAGGGAAGCTGGTGGAGCGCGGGGGCTTCGGGTTGCGGCTCCTATACGCCGGCGGGGCCCTGGCAGCGCCTTGGGCCGGGGCGTGCTCTTTGCCTCCTCGCCGGGCGCCCGCAGGAACCCCCGGCCTGGCGCGAGCCCGCCTGCTCGGCCGCGCGCACCAGGCTCGGCCGCGCGCCTGCGCACCGGCCCGGGACGCGAGGGTAGCAGAGGTGGAGCGCCGGGAGGGCGCGCGGCGGGAGGCGGACGCCGTTACGGCGCGAGCGTGGTCACGTGCCCGCTGGTCACCGCCGCCACCTCCCGCCCTCCTCTTGCCGCTCGGGCCGGCAGGTTCCACGAGAGAGCCCGGCAGACTGAGGGGGAAAGAGAGAGAGAGAGCGAGCGAGCGAGAGACAGAGAGAGAGAGAAAGAGAGAAAGGAAGGAGGGGAGGAGGATTCAGGGAGTAGGAGCTGGGGAGCCCTGCTGCACACAGGTAAACACATCACGATCACGATGCTAACGGTGAAAAAGCGCCTCGCCTCCCCGGCGTCCTCTCCGGCCAGCCGCACGCGCCGTCGCTCCCTCCCCGGCCTCCCCTCAACCTTCCCTCGCTGGGTCCGTCCCGCCGCCCTGAGGCCTGAGGCGGCCGCGGCCGACCTGCTCCGCGCTCGCTCGGCCGTGGGTTCGGCGCGGGCTGGGGAGGAGGCGGGCAGAGGCTCGATCGGCGGCGGCGGGTGGGCGGGCGGGCGAGGCAGCCCCGCAGTCCGCTCTCCCGCTCCGCTGGAGGCCTCCGAGGCCCCGGAGCCACCGGGCAGAGCCGGATGGCTCAGCCAGCCCCACTTCCTCCTTGGTCGGTTCCCCTGTTCATTTCAGCCCTGGCAGGACGTTTCCTTCACAGGCCGGAAGTCAGGCTGCTCCTGTCCTGGGACGAGCAGCCTTGTAGAGACAAACCCTGCTGCTGCCTTCATTTGTTGTAGCGCTTCTTAAGTATTCACACCAGCTTGAAAGTTCGAGGCCTGTCAGGAACCTAGGAAAACTATGGTGAAAGTTGCCCTCCCTCCTGTTTTTCTGAAAGTATACTAATCTTCCCAAACATTCTGGGCAAAAGCGAACTAGAGTTTGGTCAATACTAGTTATGAATAGTAAAGAGTTTAAGTATTTTAAGTTATTAACTAATTCAGCTTTTTAATAGTTTTTGAAGTTTACGGTTTTTTTTATACCTGCCCCCCTTTCCCACCCCCCACCCCCTCAATCGCTTTCTGAAGAATCTCATTTCTCAACTTTGAGTTGAACGGAATCCAGAAACTTTAACATGCAGGTTACATGTTAAACTGATTGACTGAAATGTTACCGCTTTTCTATGTGTAGTACATCAAGATATAATCCATAAAACCAGATATTATTAGTGCTGTGCTGTGCACAGAAGGCATCAATTGTAGGCAACATAGAAAAAGAAACCTTTGAATGCAGTGGCAAAGAAAAGCGCTTTTATGTTGTCTTTGAATTTGTAAAGGAATACAGCAGTGTGCTAGAGAGTACTGGTCAAACCTGGCTCACTCGGGTTCTTGTTAAAATGGGACGCTAATTTAGTAGATGTCATATTGATGCAGCGGTGCTGAACAAGAAAGACCCTGTTCTATACCCAAGATGTAGATAATGCCTGGACCTAGAGATGGCCTGGTGTAGGAAGGTTCAGTGAAGGGTGAAGTAGAGTGAGCCAGCTCTGGAATTCAGGGCAAGGAAAAGTACAAAATTCCATGTTCTATATGTTGTGTGATGCCCGCATTACATTTTTGCTTTGGGTCTTTTGTATTTTGCTATAATAGTTTGGTGTACTTCTTGAGAAACTTGTTCCCCAGGTCGCTGAGTTTTAGTAAGACATAGGCTAGGAATCTTGAGTCCACATGTAATGCTGGATGAAAGTGTTTTTATTGGTAAAAGCAGTGTGCCTGATATCTCAATTGGATAGTGTATTCTCGAGATATGAAGCAGACTTTTCTAAACATTTGAGAGACACAAAGAGTGTTCTAACTGGATCCAACTTTTCTTTTCGTGTAATTGAGTTTAAGGTGTTCCATATAACATCCTATGCTTTCCATACATAAAAATGGTTGTACTATTATTTTTATGGTACAAGGAATTGAATGTAGGGCCCTTGCACAAGCTAAGTAGTTAAGTTTTAAACAACTTTCTGAAAGTCTTACTACTTCCAGTCCTATAATTGTTATAACCTGAATTTTAGTTATTACTTTAACTTGCTGCTTTATATTCTAAACATATTACATATCTTAATTCACTTGATCTTCACAACTAAGGAAATAGAAACTGGAATGGTAAATCACATTGCTGATTTACATAGCTAATACTAAGCTGAATTCTGACTAGTTGACTTAATTATCTTGTATAACTGCCTTATTATTTAGAAAGAAAATTGATGAGTTTTCTTTGTATTGCTGATTAGGAGGTTTATTTTCATTTTAAAAGTAAAAATTGTCACTGTTTTATTTCCTCTGTTTTCTTCTAAAATGAAAAGCCTTAATTGTAAAAACCGAGAAGCTTCAATGCCTGTGTATCTCTCCGAGTGAGATGAGTACACGCACTTGGAAAGTTGTGTTTTGCTTGTGCTTGCTTGCATATATTTGCCGTCCCAATCTCTTCAGTTTCTTCTGTCACTGCTAAGTGTTAAATGTTTTGTCTTTGCTTTGACTTGGGAAATTTTTTAGTCCTTCATGTCCCACATATGTCTGCTCCTTCTTCCCTCATACATAGCTCATATGATCCCTTTTTTCCTATGCTTTTATCCCAATGCTTAGCTTTGGGATACTGATTAAATTTCTTTGTATTTATCACTTTATATTTGTTTTCTTCATATTTAGACTTAGAGTTTAACCAACTTACTGAGTTTCCATTTGACTGTTAAAGGCAATAAAAACTGACCGTTGATCATTAACAAACTTGAACCCTGAAAAAAGTAGGAAAGTAACCCATGAGTAAAGGTTTATATTTTAAGTTGAATAGTATATTTTATTATAAATTAATATATCCCCCTTCCCTCAACACTCTTTTTGTGTCATTCTCTGTTATTCTAAATAGTGATGCTTTATGTATATCTAGAGCAGTTTGGGTAGATCACTAGAATGGTAGCGTATGTCGTGTGAACTGAAATGAGAAATTATTATTGCTTGTAGTATTTTTCATGTATCTCTTCATTGTTTTAGTTCAACTGTTTTGAAAAACAAATACTATTTTTGGGGGGTTGTGAAGTTATATCTTCACATTCTGTAATTCTGACATTTAGGTCAAACAAAAATCTATTAAAAATTATACTTGAAAAATAGACCTTAGGCAGAATAATGGTAATCATAAATATTCCTAGATTATTTTTACAGTGTTCTGCTAAGGAAACATCCTATTTTTGACATTCTAACTAATATATTGGCTCAATGGCTTTACAATAATGGTGATACAGAAGAAATCTGTGTAAAACTTTAATTTGAAACATTGTAGTTCTTTTTGTATTGGCTAATCATCCATTATAAAATCAATTTATTAAATAAATTATTTAGAAGTGATGGTACTATTTAACCCCTGAAGAGCCTCCTGACAGCACATCTTTTCCATAGTTTAATTGATTGTATGTCTCAATTGCAGCATCTTGCCGGGCATGATAGTGGTTGTCTTTAACCCTAGCACTTGAGAGGTAGAGACAAAGTAATTTCTGTGTGATATAGGCCAGCCTGGTCTACATAATGAGTGAGTTCCAGGCCAACCAGTGCTACATAGTGAAGCCCTGTCTTAAAAAAAAAAAAGGCAGCATCTCAAGATGACAAGAAATTATTGTATGTATATTGTAATAACACCTCTGTGATTAGATGGAAAGAATCTGTAGTTTTCATGTTTAAGTCTGTATGGATGAAGTGAGATAACAGGTTTTGTGGATTAAACAATGCAGAATTTCATAATTTGTTGAGCCTTGATCAATGACTATATAAGTTCATTATCCTATTACAGAATAACCTTATAAATACCAATAAAGAGTTGCCTAAAATAGACATTGGGAATTATTTGGTTAGTACAATTTGTTTGAGGTGAAAGTCAGAATATGGTGGTGAAATTGGTCAAATACTATGACTGTACCAAGTTGCGTACAATTAAAATAGTTAACGTGATTACAGATCTTTTGTGTTGGAAGGGCTGATGAATTAGCTCTTCTGATGTGTTAGAGAAGAGTTTCTCCTTTCTTCCCCTCCTTGTCCTTTATCTCCTTCACTCTGGAGAGACAGAAGTCAAACACTAAAGTTCCATCAATATTTCCTTAGTGGGGTTAGAAGTAGAGCAACATTCTTCTATTGTAGGTTAGTGTTTGTGAGATCAGCTTAGTGGGTTGCTACTCTGATTTTCTAAACAATTAGAAAATATCAAATGTATTATGTGCAGTAAATATAAATGTGGTTATTATGAAATTTTTGTTTTAGTTATGTGCTCCTGATTGTAAAATATCATTTATTCCTTGATATGGTATTAATTTTTGTTGTTGTTTGACAAGGAGTAGTATGTAAAATATTGGTGCCACTGTAGATACTAGAAAGCAGATATGAAAATTTTAACAAGGATCGTGGACAGTTGCTTAGCATTTTACGCTGTTTTCGTGTACTGCTAACCAGCTCGTAAGAATGGTTGAGCAGGAAGAGCACCAAGGCTAATCTGTGAGCATATGGTGAACAGCCCACAGAGAAGTGGGCAGGAGCATGGCTTGGAGATGTTGATCTAATTTTTGAGTCTTTATCAGTAAGAAGTCTGTATTAATTGGGAATCACTTAGGAACTTTACATAATAGATCCTTATAGTCTGTTTACTTATAGAACTTGAACATCGACTCATTAAAACTGTGATTTCAATTTTTATTAGTTATGTTAGTTATTTGAAAGCTTGATATTAAAGACTCTTGAAAAACTAACTAGGTCTCAAGTTGTTTTGTAAAAAAAAGTTTTATTTTACTTTGATACTACCACAGGGCATCTTATTCTAGAGAAAAGAAGGGAGAATTGTTAATAGTATTACTATCTAGACACAGACACTACTGAGTAGAAATTCTGATTCTGTTGTTTATTAGTGAGATAGCTTAGAAAATATGTGTGACATTTTCATAAAATTATCTCATAAAGTTTAAATGAGATAAGTTGTTTATATAAATGTCTGGAAGTTTATGCTCAGCAGACCCTGATTAATAATGGTAGATACCTGTTTCTTTACACTTCTCATTCTTTCAGTGTCTGTAATCTCAAATTGACCTTAGATCTTAATTTGTACATTTATGGGATTTTAAAATACTGTTTTGTAGCGATCAAGACCATGCATTCAGAGATTAAGAAATGCTCTTTATTCAGAAGAAAAATAATACATGTTCTTTCTTTTGTGGAACTGCCCTGTTTCTTGAATACAATATGGACAGAAAATTATCTTCCTCCTCCCTCCCTCCCTCCCTCCCTCCCT